GGCGTAGTTAAACCGGATAAGGGACATAATGTGACCTCGTCGAGCACCAGACCGAATACGAAACGATTTGCTGCGGACCAGAACACGCGCAACAGTGACGCGATTTGAGGCCTTGATTGCAACAAAGATTTTCGTCGGCATACCTGCCTGGCTCTTTCATTCGCCATAAGTGGACTCAAGCGCTGCGGTGAGATCGATATAATAGAGCGACGGGTTGCTGGTAGCCATAGCGGCATGTGAGAACTCGCCGCAATGTAAATATTTGGTCAGCACACTCACGATCGACCCGGAACCCTGCTGGTTTTGTCTCGTCCCAGAGTCACGCACAGTCTGGAACTGCCGGAGAATGGGATAGGTAGGACCTTTGCAATAGTGTCGACGAGATTTGTGCTACAGTAGCTCTTGAGTTTCGTCTTATCTCCTTTCTTGAAGACAGGCACAAGAATGACCAGGCCCTTTCAACAGAAACTAGGTCATCTTAAATACCTCACGGAGCTGGGGCGTCAGACGGTCGACAAAAGGCTTGCAGTTCCCAGTTTTGAGGCCATCCTCTTTGGAGCCTTTTTATGCGTCCTCGGTGTTACATTAACGATTTTCTCCTGCAGGTCCCTGAGCTCTGAATTGGCTGGAGAGATAGAGAGGAGTGGCAAGTTAACCCTCGAAGTTGAACTCCTCACGTCATTACTCGGTCATGGCCGAGTTGTCAGCAATAAAGCTGCCACTGACATGGTGATCAGAGTCACTCACTGGCTAGAGTCTTCGAGTTTGAGGCCTATACGCCGCCACTTCAGCTCAGCTGTTTTTCTCTGATCTCTAGCCGACTTTTCCGTAACTTTCCAAAGGTGACGAAAGAAATCAGCGTTGCGATATCTAGCTCGAGCTGCATGGACACATAAGCAAGGTTATTTAATCGACCCAGTCACTACTTCACTGCTGGGTGAATCCGAGAATCCTTCCAACTACCTCGTGGACTGAGGATTCTGCCAGTAGTACATTACGTTGATCTTGCCTCCCGATAGGAACGTGGTTTAGAAGTTGTCAGCGGCCTGAATGATTGTATATCTGCATCGTCTTCTTCGGGTTGGAATGGTGGAGGATGATCGTGATGCTTACTACAGAGGGAGACAATTTGCTGTTGCAGTTTCAGACCCCGTGGCGATATAACACATCCTCTTGGGCAGAATGATCTGGGCCTTCTCTAGTTGACTTGACTCGTAATTGCCGCTGGTACATAATGGAAGGAGCACCTAACCGGTTATCATAGAGCACCAAGACGTTCAACTCAGTCACTTATACATCTACCTCACGAGGATATGTATACTGAGATATTTAAACACGAAATGTCCCAAAAGTGTTTTTTTTCCTTTAACATGTTCTACTCTTGATTACTGAATGCTTTTGGTCTCATTTTTAGATAGAAGCATGCCGCGCGCTGCCCGGCGGACAAAAATTGGAGATATTGGGTCGTTCTTGGAAGAAATTTGTGACGAGTTGAGAGATGCTATACAGAAGGAGGTTGAGAAAAAACGGGCAATTTTTGACAGGTACCTACAAACGAGGGTGAACTGGTTGCGCATGGCAATGATGGCCGAACCGGAGGAGCGGTTGGACATGAACTATCTCAGTTACTGCCAGGTGCATGACCCTGAGGGTCTGCCGGAGGTTGGTGTTTCTGACCGTCCCTTTATACTTTTCTATTCGGACAACCGGTGTTGCCACACATTTTTTCCAATAGGCGGCCTTGAATGACGAATATCGTGGTTCTTGCAGCGTCAAATAATCCATGATTTCACTGACACCGCTACTGCCTGCGATAATAAATGTTAAAGGGACCGAAGGAACCACAACTTCCAAATCTAACGGCACCAAAGCGTGTGCTGCGAACGCATACTGATTCGATGCTTTTGGCGTTCGAAAGATGTATTGTGTGATGTCCTTTTAACAGCCTACCACCGAAGGCAAAACTCGCTCGGACGAATTTTCGTCTCAAAAATAAGGTTTGATGAGCTTCGGTGGTCATTACCTGTAGGTCCAGAGGATTTCCAAATACCACTTTATTCCACTACAATGATCTGCTATGGTCGGTGGTTGACGGAAACACAGCAGATTTGTTTTTAACGAACAGAAACGACAGAATTAATGGTTTGGAACTAAATTCGTCAAAAGCTTCGGTAATTCCGCCCATGTAGTACCCAGTGACACTTAAAACCAACGAACGGTGAAGGAAAAAACTAACTTGGATCGCATTTGAGCCAGTTTATCAACATTGATACTCAAACATACCTAGGCTCACTGAAACTTGCATAGGTGATCTGGAAATGCAATCTCAATGTTTGGATCTCACTTGTTCTGCTTGGGACCGATCATTGACTTATCTAGGTGTGAGAGTTCTTTTGATTTGTCTGCCAAGCCATTCTATGCGCGCCATGCAGTTTGTTCCACAACAAATCTAGGTTTGTTCTATTATATACCGTTTTAGCTACCGTTTCTGGTGTTAGATTTGTCCGGTGTTGCTTTCAATCCTATTTTTATTGTTAATGTGGTTACAGGTATCCATACAAAATTTCGGACTATGAACATATCATGCCAGTCAACATGAAT